CTTGAGCAGATGGGCACTCATTCTTCCAATGACCTTCTTGACGACAAATGGCACACTGGCGTCTTCCCAGGGGCATCCCTCGTCCTCCTCTTCTTTCCTTCTGCCACATTCCTCTTTTCCTTCTGTTTTCACTTTCAAATTCTTTCAATTTATCTCTTTCATCTAAAATGTTCAAAAAGATTTTATGATCCTCCTCTCTTATTTTCTTTCTTTCTCTTTTTTCTGCTTCGTCCCTATGGATGAATACTTTGGTAGCTATTTCAATTAACTGGGACAGATTCATCCCTGCAAACCCATCTTGCTTCTGCAATTTTCTACGAATGTCTGGGGCAGATTGAGTAACAAATGAAGTGTTTAATAATGCAGATCCATCTTTTGATTCAGGATCATAGGGACTATATTTTCGGTAAGCTTCCAATAATCTCTCTAAATAAGCACCTGGACTTTCATCTTTTCCTTGCATTACTTCCTGTATCTTCTTAAGGTTAATCACCTTTTGGGGTCCCTTCTTCAAAGCTTCTATTAAAAATTCCCTGTATCTGACTATGTATTCCCTCTCTCGGCTTTTATTAGGATCCCAGTTTGGATTTGTCAAAGGAAATGCCCCTGCAGCCCATTCAGTGGGATTATAACTTGTTTTCTCGGCAGCATATGTCTGTGCTATTTGGGTTCCTTGATTAAGGATTCTTCTTCGCTCTTCAGATGTGAAGAGAGCCTGTAATAGCTGTTGGCAATCTGACCAATCTGGCTGGTGGCTAGCCATTATTGTTTCACACAAATTTATAAGTGGCTGAGGGTTTTCAGTATAAGGAGGATTATTAGACTTCCAATTTAACAAATCTGAAGTGGTAAAAGGCACATGCTGGTAAGTGGTTTTCGGAGTCAGGGTTAATTCTCCTTTGTTATCTATCTCTTGTACATATTGGACCATTGTTCTCAAAGGTAATTGAAAAGTAATCTTTGGGTTGGGATTACTATGGCTTCTAGTTCTTCCAGCTATGGGACTATCTCGCAAAAATTCTTCTGTTATATTCTGAAGCCATCTGCTTGCAGATGATAAATCTATTAAAGGTGACTTTGTAGATTCCCCAGGAGAGGTATCAGAAGATATTGGCGTGGTTAAAGAAGTTGACTGAGGAGCCAGGGTTGACCTTTCATTGTCAATGGTTTTTAACTGTGGGTACATAGGAACATAAGGAGGAGGGTTACTTACTTCTTCCTCAGGACAAGGAAAAATTCCAAATCTTTTCTTCTTCTTATTTGCCTGAGGCTTTTTCAAATTAGTTTGAGCTACAAAAACATCACATTCTTTGTTCTGACATTTCTTTAGCCATGCAGGCTGTGTTGTTATAGCATTTTCCCATGCCTCTGCATATGGAAATTGATCCGGATGAACCTCTGCTGCTATTCTCACAATTGTTCTGATATCTTTTAAATCATAACTTCCTTCACTTGGCCACCCTGTATTAAATTGCACCCAGTCTAGTTCACAAAGAGATCTCAATTTCTGGGGGCTATTGCATCCTGGTGTTTGAGTTAACTCCCTAAATTTTGAGAAATTTTCCATCATGCATTCAAGAGGAGTTAAAGACTTTTTACTTGGTACACCACCCATTTTCTATTTTTTTTCTTTTTTTTCTTTAAAACAAAGAAGTAAGCACAGAAAGCATAAAGAATGGAAAAATACAGAAGCAAAGAAGCAACAACACAGTATTTCATAAACCAAAATACACACACAATCACAAAACAAACTTATCACTTTCCCCTGAAAGTGTATTCCTTTAACCTGTGAGTGCGATTTCTGTGCGAAAACGTCACTCGAGGGGTTTTCACTTGATTTCTGCAGTAATCTCAGTGAAAGATTCCCCAGGTACTTTCCCATGTACCTTTTCCCGTTCCTTTAAGGCTAGCCTTTTTCCTTTACCTGTGCCGTGGAATCAAAGCTGTTAGTTCTCAATGTACCCCAGTCTGAAGGCAGGGAAGGCGAGGATCAGCCGGGCCGTTTTTCCAGTGGGCACCCGTTTTTCGTCCCTTCTGATCGTTGTCTTACCTGACCCGCTGAGTGGAGGCAATCAAGCCCTCAAGAGGCTTCGTTTCTGTTCCTTCGCTGTTGACTCAGATCCCGGACGAGCCCCCATTTGTTGCGGAAGATTCGTTACCCGAGATCAGACGAGCACAATCAGGAAGGAAGAGAAAGGAGACAGCAACTGATTCCAGGCCTTTAATTCTATCAAGCTTGACAGGGTGTTCAGAAAACAATATCTGACACACCATTGGAAGTCAGATTTGCTCCAGCATTTATAGCATAAATTCTCAGGTTTACACATGCGCATATGGGTCTTGACATTTACACAATCTAATCAATATCAATTTGTCCTCGAGGAACCGAGGCCAAGAACAATTGTTGGCAAGATACTATAATTTCCACTGCTCCCCTTTCATCAGCTGACCAGCCATGTTCCCAGATGACTTACGTAATCTTTAGAATGAATCATAACTTCATATATTTCTCTTTATACATATGTCTTCATATATGTATCTTTAATTTATTCAAAGCAAGCATTTCCCTTATTAATTCTTCTGTAATTACTTTCACAATACATTATTTTCCTCAGTTGATCATTTAAAAAGGTGTATGAAATTGCCTGCTATTTTCATCAACCAGACAGGAGGTGGCGCTACTACTACATGACCTTTAGATGTTAGTTTTCGAATCAATAATATCGATTTAACTCATGAGCCAAGTTTCCTACCTCAGCCTTCAGCCTTTAGCCTTGGCTCCTTCAAATATTGACTTAAGATAGAGCCAGCCTAAAAGTTTTCTAAGTCATCTGTTAAATTTCTCTTCTACCAAAATCTCTACTTCCCACCCTCAAGAACGGACAGGTAAGCCTTACTACTCATTATTTTCATTTTAAATTATAATTATTTTATTTTTCTCCTTATGGCCACCACAGCATAAATCAATTTGATGCACTGAGGTGAGCAACTGTGTCCCTCCAGTTCTTTTTTGGACTGCAATTCCCCAAACTCATCTCCATTTTCTACTTTTGCAATGACTGATGGAAGTTATAGTTCACATGATATGAAAGCCTGTAGTTTTCCACCTCTGACTAATACAAATGGCGAGAAGCATCTGGGCCTCCAAATGCCTTTGGACTGCAGTTTCCAGGAATCTAAGTTTGAGGAGTGTTGGGATTTGCAGCCCTACTCTATCTGGAATGGAACATGGTTTCCAGCATGAATTTAAAGGAGTGGTCCCCAAATCTGGCTCTCCAGGGTGTTTTTGACTTCAGGACCCAGAAGCCCCAGCCAGTTTGGCCAACTATTTGGGAAATGAAATCCCAAAAATCTGGAAGACCAAAATTTGGAAAGTACTAAAGTATATTCCTGGACACACATTATGTAGAATTAATGTGGTTTGACACTGATTTAAGATAGGTTCTGGCCCAGCTTACCTGTTCGAACGTATCTCCCTCTACGAACCATCACGGAGGTTAGGATTGTCCAGGAAGGCCCTGCTCCCGGTTCCACCTCCTTTGCAAGAACGACTGGTGAGGACAAGATACAGGGCCTTCCCAGTAGTGGCCCCTTGCCTGTAGAATTCCCTCCCTACCGAAATTAGATCAGCACCCTTCCTTTTGGCCTTTGGAAAGGAAGTAAAGACATGGATGTGGGGCAAAGCCTTTGGGAGTACAGGATTGTGTGCAATTGACTCTTGGAAAGAATATGTTTTAATTCCATGTTTAGATGTCTATATGTTGTTCCTCTATTTAATATGGTTTAATTTAATTTATGGTTATGTTACAGTTGCTTTTATACTAGGTTTTTTATATGTTGTTAGGCATTGAATTTTTGCCGTGAATTTGTTTTGAGTCCCACTGGGGGAGAAAAGTGGTATATTTCCTTCTATGAACCTGCACGATCTCTTCGATCCTCTGGGGAGGCCCTCCTTTCGCTCCCACCTCCATCACAAGTAAGGCTTGTAGGGATGAGGGAGAGAGCCTTCTCCATTGTGGCCCCTTGGCTTTCGAACTCGCTACCTAGTGAGATTAGGCAAGCCCCCACCCTGGCAGCCTTTAAGAAAGGTCTAAAAACCTGGCTCTTCCGGCATGCCTTCGACGAATGAACACATAACCCATCATCATTGTCTTCTGTAAGCTTTCCTGTCTTCTCACTGTGTGGCCAAAATACTTCATCTTTGCCTCTATTATCCTTCCCACCAATAAGCAGTGGGGCTTTATTTCCTGAAGTATGGACTGGTTGGATCTTCCTGTGGTCCAAGGCACTCTCAGAACTTTCCTCCAGCACCACAGTTCAAAAGCATCTATCTTCCTTTGCTCAGCCTTCCCTGTGGTCCAGCTCTCACATCCGTAGGTGACTACGGGGAATACCATTGCTTTGACTATGCGGATCTTCGTTGCAAGTGTGATGTCTCTACTCTTCACTATTTCATAAGAGATTGATCATTGCTCTCCTCCCAAGAAATAAGCATCTCCTGATTTCCTGGTTGCAGTCTCCGTCTGCAGTAATCTTTGCACCTAAAAATACAAAGTCTGTCACATTTTCTCCACATCTTCTCCCTCTATTTGCCAGTTATCAATCAGTCTGGTTGCCATAATCTTGTTTTTTTTTAATGTTTAGCTGCAACCCAGCTTTTGCACTTTCTTCTTTCACCTTGTTTAGAAGGCTCCTCAGCTCCTCCTCGCTTTCAGCCATCAAAGTGGTATCATTCTTCCAGCAATTTTTACACCAGCCTTGCATTCATCAAACCCCGCACATTGCATGATGTGTTTTGCATACAAGTTGAATAGGTTGGGTGAGAGTATACAAGGCTGCCATATGCCTTTCCCAATCTTGAACCAGTCTGTTGTTCCATGGTCAGTTCTTACTGTTGCTACTTGGGCCTTTCCCGACCTATTTTCTTTCCCATTGGACAACATTCTATCCAATGGCAGCCCTCTGTGTTCTAACCAATCACAAGCCTCGGAGCCCTTGTGCCTTATTTCCCATTCCCGCAGCTTCTCTTACTGTCTTTTTTTCCTGAAGCGCAAGTGGGGTGTGTCTCCGTATGGGCGGAGCGGCGTGGCTCTTCCTCCGCTTTTAGTCATGAGGTGGGCGCTGAGGAGGGCCCGAGGTCCGCGCTGGGAAGCGGGGCCCGCGTGGGATCGTCCGCGCCAGCCCCGGTCGGCCCTCCAGCTCCCTGCCGGGCTTCGGGCGGCGCACCAGGCCGCGTTCCCATGGCAACGGCGGCACGCGGGCCCCCCTCTGGCGGGCGCGGGAAACCGCGGGAAGGGCGCGCTCGTGCCGCGGCGATGGAGGCACGCGGGCGAAGGCGACCGGGAGCCCAGCTTCCTGAACATGGTGGAGATCTTCTGCGGCCGGGCGACGCGCGTGGTCGAGGACGAGCTGGTCAAGCGGCTGCGGACCCCGAAGGACGAGGAGGACCGGAAGCAGCGCGTGCGGGGCATCCTGGACACCATCCGCAGCTGTGGCCACGTCCTGGAAGTGGCCTTCCCCATCCGCAGGGACAGCGGCAGCTGGGAGGTCATCAAGGGCTACCGGGCCCAGCACAGCCAGCACCGCTTGCCCTGCAAAGGGGGTGAGCGCGCCCGCACGGCAGAATCCACCCGGTTTGGCACCACTCCCTGCCAGGGCTCGCCGCTGTGGAATCCCGGGAGGTGTAGTTTGGTGAGGCACCAGCACCCTTTGGCAGAGAAGGCTACAGACCCAACTACACACCCCAAGTTTCCATAACAATGAGCTCTGGCAGTTAAAGTAGGGTGAAACCGCGTTCCTTCTCTACCCTGTGGGTGAACTCGCTGTTTTCTTTTTGAAACAAACGCGCAGGAACAGATCTCATGACATCTTTAAAGGCTTCACAGGTGCAGTGTGCAGCCCTCAACACATTCCTTATAAGGCAGTGAGGGTGTGCAAGCGCATGGGGTAGAAACCTCCATGGAATAAAATCCACTTTATGAGACCTATGAAGTGACTATGGCCCCTTCCACACAGCTGAATAAAATCCCACATTATCTGCTTTGAACTGGTATAAATGGCAGTATAGACTCAGATAGCGCATATAACCCAGAATCAGGCCCGTAGCCAGGATTTTGATTGGTGGGGGGGGGGGGGGGCTGAGTCTGAGTGAAAGAGGGTCTACCCTAGCAAACCTTTTGTATCGTTTCCCCAATACCCCCATGCATATGGGATATATTGAGCATGGTGATCAGATCATGATATGAATAAATATAACAGTTTAAATAATATACGGTCGGGAGGGGCTGAGCTTGATTCGGGGGGGGCTGAGTCTGAGTGAAAGAGGGTCTACCTAGCAAACCTTTTGTATCGTTACCCCAATACCCCCATCATGCATATGGGATAGATTGAGTATGGTGATCAGATCATGATATGAATAAACATAACAGTTTAAATAATGCACCAGTAAGGCCTTTTCGCGAACCACCATGAGAATTTCGGGGGGGGGGGGCGGCCCTCAAGCCCCCCCCCCCCCGGCTACATGCCTGCTCAGAATATAACCCTTCCACACAGCCATATAACCCAGAGTATCAAGCAGATATTGTGGGATTTTCTGCCTTGATATTCTGGGTTATATGGCTGTGTGGAAGGATCCCAAGTTGAGGAATGCAGGTTTTTGTCTTTTTAGGTTCCCCCTGGAAATGCTTGTTTTTGCTGCAACAGACGATTACTGTTTTACCTCTTAAATAAATAAATAACTTTATTTCTAGACCACCTTCTCTCCCCAGAGGAACTCAGGGTGGTTTACATATTAAAAGGCAAGCACTCAATGCCTCAAAATAGATGGAAACACATCAAATAATACAAAATAATGAAGAGTAACAACAGAACATTTACCACAAGGAAATAAGCATCAAAATAAAGTAAAAACAAAAACAATCCATTAAGACATAAAAACTGAAACAAATAAACATTACAATGTACACCCTAAAAACAAATTATGAGACATTACATTAAAAATGGCTGACAACAGTGCTACATTTAAGACATATCGTTACAGCCATCTAATCCTCCTCCTCTCCGTATGCTAAAGTACATAGATAGGTTTTTATTTCTTTAGGGAGGGAGTTCCAGAGGTGGGGAGCAATCACAGAGAAGGCCCCTCTCTCTTTCCCACCAAACTGTGCTTATGACGGGTGGGACTGAGGAGAGATGTGATTTGACAAATAGCCTGGATCTGAAACATTTAGGGCTTCATAGGTAACGGCCAGCACTTTGTATTTAGCTCGGAAGTGGACTGGCAACCAGTGGAGCTATCGCAGCATGGGAGTCGTCAGAGGGAAGCAAAAGCAAAAATCCCCCCACCCCCAAACAGATTTTGTCAAGTAAACCCAGTCACTATAAATTGGAAGTGATTTGATAGCACTCAAATCCTTTCTGAAGGAAAGCCAAGTTTTTCCTGAACCGTGACTAGTGTTTCCTTATATAGTATTCTTTCACATGTTCTTCACTTCTCTTGTTTATTCAGCTTTGCATAGTCAAAAGAGTTGCCAATTTTTTAAATGCCATGTTTGCCATCAAGCTGTTCACTTGCTGGTTGAAGTCTTTTGATTTTTTTTTTGCATGTTTCTCTGGAAACCTGTTTAGTAGTGCCCCCCCCCCTAATATATAGATTCTAAAGTGTCCCAAAGGTATAGCAGATTAGGATATCTACAACTAGGAGGAGCCTTCTCTCGCATTGAACTTTTTTTCCTAGAAAGCTGAGCTCATTACTGAGCATTCAAGTAGTCTGTCAAACTTGACGGTAGTTTGTTTTTTTGTTTTTTTGGTTGCAGCTGCTGAATACATTTTTTGCTACTTATTGTGTATTCAAAATATTTTAAAGGTATTTTGCGGGACCTTATTTGGTTGCTTTCCAATACAGACAGCTGTCTTTCTGATTCACTGCCTGTAAAATAAGGGGAGAGAGATAATAGAAAATGTAGAATTCATTTCAAATATAGAGTTCAGCCTGCTTCTTTTCCCTTACTTGGTTAATGCTACCATCTAGCTCAGTGTAAAGGCACTACAGTTAGCCTTTCTCTACCAATTATATAGGCCAACACACATTTTGGTACCTCAAATGTTAACCCTGTTTCTGGGTATATTGGACCTGCTGGTTCCAAAAATGGCTCCAGTTTCCCCCTTTCAGCTCTATTTTAAGATACAGAGCATATGCCATCTACTAGTCTTCATCTGTTTGCCCTTAGAAATCATGATAACCATATCTAAGAAACTAGAGCCAATGTAATCTATCCAATGCAATTTTTTAAAATCAGTGCCCCAATAACCCTAGGAACAGGCCTAAAAACCAAGACAATGTTTTCTGTTGGACTGTGTTATGCATCCACAGATTCTGCCATCCACTGCTTGAAAATTCCCCCTCCCCAAAAATCAAAAAAGGAAACCCTCATTTTGCCATTTTATATATGGGACACCATTTTACAATGCTATTGTATATAATTTTACTTGAATATGCAATGGATTTTGGTATCTATGACAGATCCTGAAACCAAACCAAAGGGCCACTGTCTTGCCTATTTCCCAGTATTCTGATCCTTAGCAGTGTCTGCAGTTCCCATGTGATCTGAAAGAACCTGGCAAAAGCAGATTGAATTGTTTTTTGTTTTTAAAAAATCCACCCAGAAGCCGTAGAAACTCCCAAAATATTAGGGAACAGATTGGACTATATGCATTACTGTCTGTCTTAATGAATCAGTATTCACATAATAGCAAATATGCCTGCAAATAGAGGCTGAATTGTTACACCATAAATCATATGAGCATCCCCCCACTTTTTTCTAGCAGGCAAATAAAGGAATAATAAAACAAATAACACGGAATAAAAAGAACAGCTAGACCTCACAATGTATCTTTACTCATTTTGCTGGATTGTCTATACGTGTATGAGCTCTTCAACAACACCCAGTGTTCTATAAAAAGAAGAGTGGGCATAAACAGTGTGTTAAAAAGAAAGTCTTCCAGCACTCAACAGCACGTGGCTGCTTCTATTCATTTCATTTTGCAGTGATCTACGGCTGGGAAAATTAAAGTACCTCTCTTCAGATAGCTACACCAAATTACTTTTATAATGGCATGAGCTTCCATATTAATGGGAAAGCATCTTCACAAATTGATTATACTAGCCAGCAATATCTTGTCTAGATTTAAAGCCTGCCAAAACTAAGCTGTGTTTTTATATGTGCTTCATTGAATCCATAGAACTGGAGTGGGTGTGAAGGGCTATAAATAAATAGAAGTGTTTGTATTACACATATATTGACTACGTGCCCACTTGTTTCTTTCTTTACCTTCTCCCAGGGATTCGTTACAGCCAATCAGTTAGTGTTAATGAAGTAAAAGCCTTAGCTGCTTTGATGACATATAAATGTGCTGTGGTGGGTAAGTAGCATTTAGCCTCATATAGGTGAACTGCTAGGAGATGTTCTGAATGTTAGTTGGTAGCTCTATTAAAACAGTCCATCATAATACTTGCAGAAGGGTTTGTACATATTTTAGAAACAAAATGTCAACACTTTAAAAATAAAACTGTTATAAATAATTATTTAACAATAGGAAGGAAGTAAAACAAAAGATAATACTTTCGAAATGAGTTGAAATTGGATCCACTTATAATTTCACTCATTATTTTAGAACACAACGGAAAATCCCTTCCATCTTCTGGACCCTGTTTTTTCCCTTCTACAATAGAAGGGGCAAGAATATCACATTGGCAGTTACTTTTGATCAGACTTATACTTTGTTTGTAATATAGAACTCTCCTTTTCTATAAATATTTGTATATAGACATTATTGCTAAATGTTTGGATAGGATTTAAACATGATATGGAAGGAGTGAGGGAGGAAAACCATCTTCTCAAAAGTGCACACAATGTGCTTAGCCCAATGAGAGAAGATAAACTTCTCAGAATGGAGGAAAAGACTCTTACTGTCTTGTGTCCCTTAAGCATGTTATATGCCTGACAAACATTCATCTCCAGTTTTAAAAATAATAAAAAAATGATTAGTAGATTTAGCACTGCTGGGCTACTTTATTTATTTATTTATTTGCTTTATTTCTATATTTTTGCTTTATTTATATACAATTTTTTTGAATTGCTTTATTTCTATAGTTTTGCTTTATTTATATACAATTTCTTTGAATTGTTAGAGTAATGAACTGTAAATATACAATTAGCAAATAGCTGGGATGTGAGGGAAAGGTTTGTTGTTGTTCATTCGTTCAGTCGTCTCCGACTCTTCGTGACCTCATGGACCAGCCTACGCCAGAGCTCCCTGTCGGCCGTTACCACCCCCAGCTCCCTCCAGGTCAGTCAAGGATGCCATCCATCCATCTTGCCCTTGGTCGGCCCCTCTTCCTTTTGCCTTCCACTTTCCCCAGCATAATTGTCTTCTCTAGGCTTTCCTGTCTCCTCATGATGTGGCCAAAGTACTTCAACTTTGTCTCTAGTATCTTTCCCTCCAGTGAGCAGTGGGGCTTTATTTCCTGGAGGATGGACTGGTTGGATCTTCTCGCAGTCCAAGGCACTCTCAGAACTTTCCTCCAACACCACAGCTCAAAAGCATCGATCTTCCTTCGCTCAGCCTTCCCTAAGGTCCAGCTCTCACATCGTAGGTTACTACAGGGAATACCATGGCTTTGACTAGGCGGATCTTTGTTGCCAGTCTGATGTCTCTACCTTTACTATTTTATCGAGACTGGACATTGCTCTCCTCCCAAGAAGTAAGCGTCTTCTGATTTCCTGGCTACAGTCTGCATCTGCAGTAATCTTTGCACCTAGAAATACAAAGTCTGTCACGGCGTCCACGGTTTCTCCCTCTATTTTCCAGTTGTCAATCATTCTTGTTGCCATAATCTTGGTTTTTTTGACGTTTAGCTGCAACCCGGCTTTTGCGCTTTCTTCTCTCACCTTGATTAGAAGGCTCCTCAGCTCCTCCTCGCTTTCGGCCATCAGAGTGGTGTCATCTGCATATCTGAGGTTGTTAATGTTTGTGAGGGAAAGGTACTACTCTGCTATTTTGGAGTTCTCCAGGCTGCCCAAGAACTTCATTAAAACTTGGGAATTTAGTGTTTCAGAATTTTCATACCTTGTAATGACTTCTTTTTTATACAATCATGCCCTAAATATATTACATTTTTGATCCCTGTATTTTTCTAAATATAGTGTAGTTTGGTACTACCCTGATCTACTTGTTTCTTTTTAAATATACTTTTTCAGCTCATTTGAAGTATAGTTAGGCAATTATGTATGTTTTCCTTCCATCCTCCTGCCATCCCTCCTCTATGAAATCATCCCCATTATCCTCTTCCATTATCTCTGTACCTTGCCACCTAAGAAACAATGACCAATGCTGTCATATTTTGGCAAGCTTTTTGCTGTGAAGCAAGAGAAGTTGTCCCTTATTTAACATTCAGGGTAATTTTTAATATATTTTAACCATTCTCTACACAGACCCTTTGCCATTTGGGGCAGGGGAGGTATAACACCAAAATCAATTGATTCTCAACTATTCTTAGAGCAGTTATTCTCAATGCACTTCTGTGTCTATATTATGCACATGAAGGTGAAATATCCAGTTGCTAACTTGTCTATCTGTTGTCTTCGAGATGTTCCTTTCGGTGGGGCTAAGGCTGGTGTTGCTATTGATCCAAGGAATTACTCAGTAAGTGTATGGTCTAACCGTTTCACTTTCTGGAAGATATTTAATATTTATTTATTTATTCACTTCATTTTTACCCTGCCTTTCTCACCCAAGGGTACTCAAGGTGGCTTCAACCCCGGAGTATCTTCTAAAGTAAAATAAAAGATTTCTACCTCATGATGTATTTTCAAATCCACTCTGGATGCTTTAAAACTCTCTCTCTCTCTCTCTCTCTCTCTCTCTCTCTTTCTCTCCCCCCCCCCCCCCCCTCTATGTATATGTGGTGTTTGGTATCTCTGCAAGAGTCTGTAGTAACAGCTGAATGTTTATGTTTTTCTACAGGAGAATGAACTGGAGAAAATAACAAGAAATTTTACAATAGAAATGGCTAAGAAGGGATTTATTGGTGAGGGCACTTTCTTTGCACTTTTTATGAAATTTCTAGCTAACCCATAGGTTAATTTTGGAAAGAGGTTAATTTTGTTATTATTAAAATATTTTTATCCCATTCTTCATCATGTGATCTCAGAATAGACTAATGGCTCTCACTGTAAAGGACAACTGAAGGAAGATGCTAAGACTTGATAATCTGCATGTTAAACCTTGGGAATCACTCCCATCTTTTCACCAGGACTTTATTTTATCTAATCATTTGGGCAAGAAAACTGAAAGAAAACACCCAGACATTTGCATCTGGTTCAGAATTCGGATGACTGTGATTATGTACTTTCCTTTCGAAGAGTTAAAAGTGGCTATAATTAATCTTGCTTAAAGGCATCCACAATGAGATATGTTGTTTTTATGCTCAAAGTTCTTATTTTTCCATGAAACTAGTATTTATTTATTTGTCTCTAACATTTGTATTCTGCCCTTCTCATCCCACAGGGGACTCAGGGCGGAGCACAACATATACACAGCAAAACATTCAATGCTGGGACATAAAACTATAAATATACACAAACATTAAAATTGCTTATATCCACTTTAAAATTGGCTATTTAAAATCATATCAGGACACCATGCTGGCTTCGATCAGCAGAGTAGGTTTCCTGTTATTCCCTGTTGTCATACATTCTTTGTTGTTTAGTGTTTTAAGTCTTGTGTTATAGTACTTGATTCCAAAAATCTGTTATTTTAAGAAATGTGAGCCATAAATGTAATAAAGTAGCGATTCCTTTTTTATTACATACTTGTCAACCCAAGGAGTGGTGGTGTTATATTAATTTTACTAGCATCACATGTAATCTATATATCTATTATAGAGACTGGTATTGCCTTAAATTTGCCTCTGGACCATATACTATTTAAATATTTTACAGTTATTTCCTTATTTAAAACAGTTTCCGATGCCAGATGTGTTGATATATTTAGCTTTAAGGGTGAGCTTAAAGTGTATTGAACTTTGAAGTTTAGAGTGTTCAGAGTATACAACAAAGTTAGACCAAAATAAATATATATATATGATTTAGGCATCTAATGGTGTCAACAGATAGGAATGTGCTCTCTCTGCCAATATTTCTGCATATCAGATAAAACTGGCAGAAGACGACTCTTCTAAGTTATTAGTATGAAATGGGGAGAAGATATGATGGATGTGTTGTCCCTGGCAGGTCCTGGAATTGATGTAGCTGCCCCTGATGTGAGTACAGGAGAAAGGGAGATGTCCTGGATCGCTGATACTTATTCAAACACTCTTGGATACAGGGTAATAATAATTCTTTACACTAAAAGATTCTGTATGTGGCTTTCTGAAAAGCAGAATCTTTGAATCTTTATTTGCATTTTGTCTTGAAGCCAGGATAAGAACTGTGTTACCCTCCATATGTTGCTGAACCTCATCTTCCATCATTGCTCACTAGTACCCAGTTCCCATCCCTGCTTGAATTGATGCTTCAGACTTGGCTCTGAGTCAGGGCTGTAGCCAAGGGGGGTGGGTTTAGGGGTTCAACCCCTCCTGAAATTTTTCATGTTAAAAAAACCCTGATTTACTCATGAATTGGTTAACCAAATCCCCATGTTAAGTCTATGAGAAGCAAAAATTAACTGCAAGCACTATCTCAACCAAATTTTGACATTTTATTCATACTGTCATTACTTGCAGCAATAGCAAGTATGGTTGAAGCAATCAGTTGGCCCACCCATAACTGGCAGGCAAACCATAAGTCATGGGGCGGGGGGGGGGGGGTTGACAGGGGCAGAGCTGCAGGCTATTTAAGGCTGCTCCACCTTCTTGCTGTGATCCATCTTGGGGTAGGAGGTAGGTTCCTAATGGAGAATTAGGCCTTTTCCTACTTGCTGCTTCCCCTACCCTTTTCCACAGGATAATAGGGTTCCCATTGCTATGGGCCTTTGCTCCAGGGAGACACTCTACAGTTTGGGTAGTTTAGCAAGGATATCCCAGCAGATCATAAGTATTGGTCAGGCTCATGGCCTAACAAACTAGAATGCATGCATCACATCTGGTCCATTTTGGAAGCTGTGCAGTCATACTCTCTTGGCCTCAGAGCAAGGCACAGACACACTACTGGAAGTATAAATCTTACGTTGCCAACTGCCTGGTTTGGGGTGGGAATCCTGATTTCCCACTCCAAACTTCAGGTCTGTATTTTCACCTCATGCTTGGCCAAATGTTGGGCCCTTCTTGGAAAAGGCTGTTTGCTGCCACAGGGGTTGCCATTTTCTACAGTGTTTGAGAGGAGGTGCCAGGTCCTGCTTGCTCAGACTCATAGTCTAGCCCCCTGAAAGGCACAGAAGTAAAGCAGTCACACACTCTCAGCCATAGGGTAAGATAAACACAGTTTAAACATAAATCTTCATGATATTACTTCTATTCATTATGGTGAATATCCCGGCAGGCAGTATCTTTTAGGTCTTTGCTTTTGTCTTATGATAAGCTTCATCAATTTGGGGGATTGTAGTCCCAAAAACTCCGTAAGAAAAACTTAAGTTTAAATACACTTTATGATGTTTCCAGATATACAACAACTGTGATCATTTGTGCTTGCTTTAAAAGTTTATATTTTATTTTTTCCTAGACAAGTATTTTTTGAATAATTAAGTACAAGATTAAAGGTATTTTATGTAGTTTCTAAAAATGTATGGATTATTTATCTTGATTTTTAGATATGCCAATTTAAAGTGTGTGCGTTTTAGGTCATTTTCAACTCTTAAACGTTTGAAAACATACATAAGAAACACAATGGGGCAAAAAAGACTGACTGGACTTGCAGTTTTGAGTGTCCACCGAAGTTTATCAATGGAGCCTCATTTCTGTCAAAATGTATTGACACATTTTTGAATTGTTACCAACAGACGTTATGGTATTCTTTTGTAACGATAAATTACCAATTAACAGTCATTTTCAGTTATTTTAAGGTTTGAAACTTTGTAATTAAAATAGAAAATTCATTTAATTAAGTCTATATAAAAATATAGAATAAACCATACTATTTACATTATTTTGTGTTATGGAACTACTATTCACGATTTGCTAAAAAGAAAGTTTCAAACCACCCCCCCCCCCCCCCCGAATTTTTTTCTGGCTACGGTATTGTTTTCAGTAGTGTTTTAGAATTTTAGCTCCTTTTAAATAGTCTGGCTACATGTGCTTTTGCAAAGTACATACTTGTAAATTGTCTGGACATCTGTGTAGTAAATGTGAAGATGTGACCATTCTATCATCTATTTCATATGTGGAATTGTAGGATATCAACTCCCATGCTTGTGTGACAGGGAAGCCTATCAGTCAGGGAGGAATCCATGGACGAATATCAGCCACAGGTCGTGGACTTTTACATGGGATAGAAAACTACATCAACAATGCAACATACATGGATCTCATTGGCCTCAAAACAGGCTTCTCTGGGAAAACATTTGCGTTGCAGGTAAACATGAAACTGAATTGTTGATACAGTATCTTTTGTTACCGGTTTGGGAAAAGCTAGGCTCTTTTGCGCTTCATACGATTACAGTTACACCTTTTGAATATGTGGGCCAAATTTATCTGCTCACCAATGGAATCATTCACTGGAGGTAGTAGCATTTGTATCATCTTGAACCGGGACTTTATTTTCTTTGGTTAAAGGTAAAGCCAAATTTAAAGCTATCCAGAATTGCTTCTGTTTACTTGCTTTACTGTATTGAATTCCTAAAATAATATAATGTATTATTGGGACTACCATTGGAAGTCACTACTCTCTTCTGACAATGCAGCCTTTCCACTGGATAGAGACAGGTTTGAGATGTCAAGTTTTTCTTTTTCTGTTGGTCAAATCTATACATAAAATAAAAGTGAAAATATATGTGTGTGTACATGGCTGGGATGTCCACTTACACAGACAAGCTCCCACCTCCACAAACAGCTATGGCTCCCACCACTCAGGAGACACCAATGGCCCTCCCTCCAATGACACTGCAGGTTATCCTGAGCACCATAAACTTGTAAAGAGCCCTGCCAATGTCCTCCACAAACACAATCCTGCCCACCACCCAAGTGAAGACTTTCATACAGGAACAATTTCATCCTAGATTTTATGGGTTTCCTCCACCACAGACATCCCAGTGTTTCTTACTCTCTCCATTGGTGTGGAATTTGCTTGACCATACCTACTGCTTCTCCTTAACCTTTTTGTTTCCTTTTCTATGGCACACAGCAAACAGAGGAATTGATCAGCAACTGAACATACTAGAGAGGTTTGGGGAGAATTCATGATTTATAGGAGTTGTTACTGTGATGTATAGTTTACCTGCAATCCAAGAGTCCTTTGAACTCCCAACAATGATGAACCTGGAAATAGCTATGGCACCAAGAACCCCCGTGACCAGCAAAAAATACTGGAGCTCTTTGCAGGGATTTATAGGAGTTGTAATTCACCTACATCCAGAGTACACGAAGAACCCAAACAATGATGGATCTGGACCAAACTTGGCATGCATACCCGATATGCCCAAATTTGAATACTGGTGGGTTTTGAGGGGAAATGGCCTGGACATTTTGGAGTTGTAGGTACGGGGATTTATAGTTCACCTGCAATCAATGAGCACTCTGAACTCTACCGAAGATGGAATTGGACCTAACTTGCCACACAGAGCCCCCATGACCAGCAAAAAATACTGGAGGTCTTTGGGGAAAATTCACCTTGATTTGTGGGAGTTGTAGTTCACCTACATCCAGAGAGCACTGTGAACCCAAACACTGATGGATCTGGACCAAACCTGGCACACATACGTGATATGCCGAAATTTGATTACTGGATGGGTTTGGGAAAACTGACCTTTCTTTCCGGGAATAGTAGTTCACCAACAACCAGAGAAACCGACCTCTTCCGATAATGGATCTGGACCAAACTTGGTACATAGAACCCCCATGACTAACCCAACCAACTGGAGGGGTTTGAGGGGACTGACTCACTATAGTGGGAGTTGTCGTTTCCCCTGCAACCAGAGGGCACACTGAACCCCACTGATGATGCATCTAGAGCAAACTTGCCCAACATAACAAACTTTAAGTACAGATGGAGTTTTTCAGGGTTAACCTGGCATGATGTAGTTGTAGTTCACCTTATGCATTTTGTACAATTTAAAAATTGACTTTTTCAAATAACCTGGGCAACGCTGGTTACCCAAGCTAGTAGAAAATAAAATTTTACTGTTTTGCTTTTGTTGCCTTCCTTGTTTTCAGTGGACTAAAGGATAATGTGAACAGTGAATAGTCTGATAAGACTAATTTGATTTCTTTACTCCCTTAGTATATTCCAAACTATTTGAATACAACATGCAAATTATCCTCTTTCCCCTGTTTGTTTCTTTAAAAACATCTTTGTTTGATAATGAAACTTTGGTTTTGAAAGCTTGCACAATGGTTGTGTGTGTGTGTGCGCGCGTGCATGCGCCTTTCAGGTAGGCTTAATAAAATCGTTAAGATAGTTTGGACTTTGGGGCACATCTGCATCTGACCCCTTTTTTCCTATTCATTTTTTACCTTCTTGATCTTCCAATACCTACTGATCACTGGTGGCTGCTTCTAGTAAGCAAACCATACTATCAATAATTGGATCTTGTATTCTTTTTGCTAGATAGTACACCCATTGATGTAATTTGTGTTGCTTGAATATTAGAAATATTATTCTTTTAGTATTCAGATGACCATACAATTAAGGATGTACATTATATCTCTGACATTGTGGCTTTTCTGGCCCGTGGAAACGTATGATACTATAAATGTGCTATATTTGTGTCTTGGTTTACCTCCAAGGAAGTTGGACAGAGGTGCATGATTTTGAACCTCCCCTCCTCACAGCAACTCTTTGTACTCATAGCAACCCTGTGAAGTAGGTGAAGTAGACAGAGATACTGGTCTAAAATAACAGGGAAATGTTTTTGAATCTGGGTCTTAATTCTAGACTAAACCCGGTGCAGTTTGGTTTTAGGCTGGGACATGGAACTGAAACAGCCTTGGTTGCCTTAATGGATGATCTACGTAGAGCTGGGCAGGGTTAGTGTGTCCCTGGTGGTTCTCTTGGACCTCTCAGTGGCCTTTGGTACTGTTGACCATGATATCCTTCTGGGATACTTTGTGGGAATGGGGCTTGGAGATACTGTTTTACAGTGGCTCCTGTCCTTCCTAAAGGATCATTCCCAGAAGGTGGTGTTGGGAGATACCTGCTAATAGGGCTGGGCAACCACGGAAAAATTTGTTTCTAAACTCGATTCGTTTTTAGGGGGTTTTTGCGTTTCGATTTTTAAATTAATTCYRAAATTTTCCTTAAWA